AGTTTGACCTTTCACAAGTCGAATCAAACTATGTTTGCGATAGAATTGTTAAACTAAACGAGCCTCGCTCAGCTCGTTAAGGCTCGAGTTTGACTTGACTCGTTTGATAAACGAGCCGAGCTCGAGCTCATTTAAAGCTCATTTGGTGGGACTCAGCTCGGCTCGATAAGGCACGTTAATGCTTGAAAAAAGAATTTTTATATGTTTGCCTATTGTTCGGCTTGTTAAAGATTGAGATCGGTTCGTTAAGGCACTAACTCGACTCATTATTAATGATTAATGAGCTGAGCTGAAGCTCGATTTCAGGCTCATTTATTTAAAGAACTGAGCTCGGCTCAGCTTGTTAAGGGCTCAAGCCGGCTTGGCTCGTTTGCAAGCCTAGTTATCAAATATTCTGTTTGCAATTATTGCAGCCTAGGATGAAAACAAATCTTGGTTGCGCCTGCTAATTCATAATGTATCTTTCTTTTTCTTTTAATTTTATTTACTAAATAAATTAAGGACATGATTAAAATTATGGAAAAAAAAACAATTTTTTTAGGTGTGTTATTCTATATGTTTCGAGATGGAAGCGTGTGTCAGACCGATTAAATAAACATGGATCTACCCTTGATTCAAACAAAATATTCTAGTTAGAATTTTATTAATGAAGAATTCAAATTAGAGTAATAACATCGAAACATTCATTAGTACTATTGAATTTCTCTGTAATATATTTTTATTAAAATTTCATCATTTTCTTGTAGTAAAAGTAGAACTCCAAACTAAAAAAAAAATAGCATTATATTGTGTGCATCTAAATATTATGAAAATTATTGATAATGATATAAAATATAAAATTCACAATGTAATTATCATTTAATATATAATAATTATAATTTTCAAAACATACATCTAAGTTAAAAAGTCTTTAATTATTTTATTAATATTATAATAATTAAACAAGGGGTAAGAATGATGTTCTACGTAATAAAAAAACTAAATCTACACAAAGAGAAAACTTGTAGCTCGCATTCAATCGAAAAGAAAAAAAAGTGATAGAATTAATCAATGTCCTATATCAATTGGAGCTGACTAATGAGAAATATAAAATATACTAAAAATCGGTATGTTAGTATGAGTCTTTTTAGTTAAAGAATTAATTGTTTCTACCATTAACAATTTTTATTTTTAAAATACTTAATATTTTTTTTATTGGTTAGTATTTTTATATGTAATATATCACATCATTTTTTCCTAATGATGTTATATTTGACCAATATGTTGTAAATAAAATAAAAGTAATGTAACTATTTTTGTCGATATAAAATAATATATTTATATATATATTATTGGTTCTCATAGTAATGATAGGGGAACTACTTCTTTTGTTGTTGTAAGAAATTGGTTCTCATAATAATGATCCTATATTGTGAATTTTAAATAATTAAAAAAAATTATAAACTTTGTAATACACAATGTAGATTTTAATAATGACTTCGCAATGATAAAGTTCACATATAACTACAGTATCATAATATAATAGTATTCGAACTCTTCTACTCTCATATATTTTAACAAATGATATACATCTAATGTCTCATTATTTTGTTTTGTTTAGTCATCATTAAAAAATTAAGAAATGATTTTTATCTTGAATTTTCAAAGCGTTTATGATGCGTAATTGGACAATAAAAGCATTAAAAAAGTTATTAGGCGTATATATCTTGCAAATTCGAACAATGTGAAAGATATTGTAATAAGCAACTCTAAAACTATTGCAACAACCAAAATGATCAATGACTTGCAAACAATTGATTAAATAAGTCGTCTATCTTCCAAATAAATAACAATAAAAAGGGAATGTAAGAGTTTGACCAACATTTTTTGAATATTTGAATGAAGTTGTCACTTTTTTTATAGGAATACAATCTCATTTGTTATTGTGCTCGAACATATGTGTAGTTACTTTAGAATACGTACTTTCATGTAGTATGATGGTTCCGTAAAGTAATTTAGCACATGAGAAGAAGTAGATGTAACCACGATTTTGGAAACTCAACTTTTATTTGGAGATAAAATTCATTTCCACCCCGTGAGACGATGCCTCCATGGGGTAGGTACCAATTTGTCTATTTGGAGAGAGAATAATGAGTGGTTATACAATAATAAAAAATATCAATAATTTTAATGACACAGTTGGTTATTATTTCATACATATATCTCTCATTAACTATTAGTAAAACTAGTACAGAGCTTGTGCGATGCACGGGGTGTACAATTTTAAGGCCATTTATCCAGCCTTATAATTATATAAATGAATAAAGAGAAATATACGAAATATATGTAGTACGTGACCTGTACGAGGCACAAGATATATTTATTTGGAGATTATTATACTATAAGATTCAATATTCAATAAAAGTTTTACAATACACGAAAATAAATATAAATAATGTAAATATCTAAATACATACACGATATGTAGAATAAGTAAGCCAACTTGCAAACCTGAAAATAATTAAAAAAAATTGAAAATATATTTCACTAAACATGTACAAAAATATCTAAATACATAAACGAAAATAAAGAAAATTAAAATATACGTTTCAAATTTCAAAATTAAAATAAAAATTCAAATAATTTGGCTTACAGTTTTATCATGCAGAACCAACTCGAGATATGACTTGTATGTGCTGCCCCAGTCTTGGAAAAACATTCTCACAATTCGAACTTTGAGCATAGGTCTATTAGACCTATTGACTTGTTTGATTAACCCAAATCCTTGATTCATTGTTTTGAATAAAAGACTGATTGAAGATATTTTTTGTTCGCAGGAGGTTGACAGTGAAGAAAATGATGGCTTGATATTTTGAGATTTGTAATTTATAATGGGTATAATAGATTATATTGTTGTTAATATTATTATTAGAAAATCTGAATCTGAATATACAGAAATCGGTTTGAACAAAATCAAAACAAATTTCCATACAATTAGATAATAAATTAGATAATAAATAAAGCCTTTTTATTTTAGTAAAGATTTATGTACTTTTTTTTACTTATAGGATGTTATGGGGGTTCTTTTGTTAAACCGGTTTTATGGGATATAATACAAATACAATTAGAGGAATGAACAAAACCAGAACACATTTCCATATAATTAGATAATAAAAAGAAATTAGATAAGGAAAGAAGGAATTAGATAAGGAATTTTGAATCTGCCTTTTTTTAGTATAGATAGACTTTACGTACAAATTTTGACTTCACCGATTTGTGGGTTTTGTTTTGACAAAATCGATGTTAATATGGAACAAGACAAATAAATAAAGCTTTTTTTTTTTTATTTTAGTAAAGATTTTACGTCTTTTTTTTTGTACTTATGAGATTCTATGAGATTTTTTTTCTTAAACTAATTTTATGGGATATAAGACACATAAGTAAAATAATTAAATAAATTCTAGATAGAAATAGTAATGCATTAATTACGTTGACTTTTCAACCTACTAATTTTGGGAAATAGGATACCTTGTTATATAAGTATAAATACATTATAAAATCACACAGTCATGACGTATGACTATATGTTTGGCCAGAATATTTTTAAGTGTTTGAATAAAGTAGACATTTTGCCAAATGAATTGAGAAAAATTTTGCAATACTCTTGATGTATTGACCTTCAACAGGTATGAATATTTGTTATGAGAACGTCAAAATCAAAATGAAAGAAAATCACTCTTGTATCATCTAACATAAATAGTAAAAGTACTAGTGGTTCTATAATATACATTATGTCATTATTTCGTACTTGATTTTCCATATATTTTGTTGGGGTTGTGTTTGGTCACTACCTGAATTTGGGTATAACCGGTTGAGAAGAACCCTGGTCTACCTGAACTGTCGGGCATAAACCTGCAAGAACTCAACGCCGGAAGTGATTTCGGCGTAGAGCCTCTGATGCTTAAGTCAGCAAAAGGAAGAAGATGATGATGCTCTCTAATCTAGAAATAGTATATAATGAATGGAGAATGTTTAAATTTGTTTGGTAATACCTCAATCCCTTTTATAGGGAAATACCTACCTAAATGTTATATCCGACTGCTCGCGGACAACTGGGCTGAATTATTACCCATATCCTAGTGTTTTAAAAGTCGTTATGCGCCCGCTAGGCGCTCGACCAGCGCCTACCGCCTAAAGCCGCCTAGGCGGCGCCTAGTCGGGGCCTAGAAATCAATATTGTATACTTTATTTTTTTATTTATTTTAACTACCTACAAAATAAAATTATCTCAACTTATAATAAATCGACACACCAAGTCCACATAATAAAATTAATATATTTTAAGAAAACATGAGAACAAAATAATGTAATTAGTATTTAAAAAAAAAAAACTGAAAAATTGCTGTCGAG